TGCTCAGAGGAAGGGAGCAAGGGGTCCCACATGGTTTATGCTTAAGCCATGTCTTAAGCAGGGCTTCTCAGCACAGGACAAGTCTAACAGGGACTAAATTTGTCTGCCAGGGTGTCCTGAGTGCGCACCCAAGGGAGCCAGGACATGGTACCGCGGGAGAGAGAAGTGCCCACCACCACACCCTGGTACCTTTTTTGATCTTTTCATGGAAGTTGATGGCATCCACCGAGGCAGTGACGATGTTGGTCTTGCAGTGGCGGGCGGCCACAATCCCAGCAACCTCGTCCATGAGCTTCATGGTGACACCTGGAGGGGAGAAGCCAGTGGGATTTGGGAAAAACGATGCGTAGGTCGATAAGGCCTTTGCATGACCAAAGCTACGCCGAGGAGTTGGACCAGAGACTGAATCCCAACTGCAGGAAACCCCCAGTACCAGCACAAAGACTGCTGTCAAGAGTACCATCAGGGCAACATCCTCACAGACCTGGGCTTGAGATTTAGGCTAGCTCTCGCTCTCCTGAATTTCTTTGAGCAAACTTCAGCCTTGCAAAGCAAGATCCCACAAACCTCCTGCTTGGAAAGAGCTCTGAGCCATGGTTTTTTATTTTTTTTTTTTTAAGGACGCAATTAGATGAAGAGCAGCATCCAGCATCAACCCAGCCCTTGACAAATGCCCCTCTCCTGGGGCTCACACCACACACCTCTGCCTTGCCCTGCCCACCTGGCAGGTGATGGGCCCTGCCAGCCAAGAGAAAATTACTCCAGCAAATTGCAGTCATTGTACACTGGGTGTTCATAATCCGAGATTTGCAATTTAAGAGATGATGACAAAATTGTAGGATTTACAGTTCAAGTATGTTAGTTTTCACGGCCTTTTTTATGCATAGAAAAAGACAAGGCTTTTGTCTCAGCTGAAGCAACGCTGAACGTTCCAGATGGTGGAAATGGGCCTGTGTACCTTCAGAGGCAGATTCCGCCTCCCGAAAACACGGAGGTGCACAAGTCTCTTTCAAACCGCGATTCTGCTCCAGGGAAAAACCAACCCAGCCGTTGAATAGGGCAGTGCTCACTCACCTCCATGCACGAAGCCCAGCAGCGTGCCGTCCGATGGTCCCAGGCTGGACTGGCTGTAGCCGACAGTGTGCGGCTCTGGTTAGAGAAAGAGAGGAAGGTGAACGTCAGAGCTACTCGGCCAGCACCCATAGACCACCGTACGCTCGTCTTAAACCATCTGAAGGAAAAAAACATGGGGCTGGCTTGTGCAAAGCTGAAGTATGTTCAAACCAGCATTTAAATCAGCCCCGAGAAGTCCTGAGAGCACCTGACAGGCTGCCACCTCCCCCTAATGCCCCGCCATTGATTTTATTCCAGCTCAGCTCATTTCTTCTTTTAAAGCTTTCAAAGAGCCTGAAAGCAAACCAGAGTGAACTGGACAGATGCGTGACTGTACATTTTCCCTCCTCAGGTAACCAGCCGCAGCTGCCACTTTGGGGCATTTTCAGAGAGCCACGCTTTCCCTTCAGCATGAAGACCCCCACGGCCCCCAACCCTGGCACATGCTGGTCACGTCTGACTTGCCACTAAATTCAGGCAACAGAAATCACACCCTCCGACTGCCAGCAGAGGAAAACCGCTCTCAGGGGTGGCTGTGTTTTCTATCTGATGAGAGATGCTAAAGGGGCTTAGTGCAGGAAAAACCAGCTGAGCCCCCAACCACTCGACATCGCATCCTCGGGGAGGACACCCGCGCGGCAGCACCCGCGGAGCCTTACCTTTTGTCTGCCTATCTGTGAGCAAGGAGAACAGAGGGGAAAAAAAGCATTTGAGCAACTTTCATCACGCATCACCCCCGTGACGATCCCTGCGCGCCACCTCTCTGCCTCAGCCTGAGGACCATGGCCAGTCCTGGAGGCCACCGGCTGCTCGCCCTTTCGGGTCACTATCAGCACTGCCACCATCTTTCCAGAAGCCAGGGCAACGCTTTTGGTAGGAAAGGGATCCCCAGCAATCCCCTAGGGAGAGCATGACCCCCAGCTCCTGCCTTTCAAACGCTGGCCAATGAAATTCTTGCTAAAAACTGACTTCCAGAGAGGGGCTGCAGCTGCAGAGTGTGCAAAACCCTCGCCCAACGCTTACATTGACCCTATGCTGAGCAAAACTAACTCCCGCTGCCCAGAAGTACACGAGAGATGCGAGGAGTGGCAGCAGGAACCACGTTTCGGAAGAGGGCATCCCACCCACCAGCCCCAGCGGGGGATCACAGATGCCCACCCAGCTCCCGCTCTGCTCACAGACTGTGGCTCCAAAATCCCATCCCATCCCTAAAGCAGTGTTTCGGAGCACACGGGTGCCTGGAGATGGCTGGAGTTGCCTCAGGGATGAATTCAGCCTCCCAGCACCGCTGGGACGTTTCCACAGGCCACGCACCGCCCGTGTTACCTGGGTTGATGACAGGGAAGATCATGTCACCATTTCTCTGCTTAGTTTCCAACCGATCCAGCTTTTGCTCCTCGTAACGCTTCTTCCCCTCATCCTCCTGCTCCTTTCTCGCATACTGGAAGGAAAGGCCGATAAGAAGGGGGTCAGCAAAGCCACCGGCACAGCCGGGAGTGCCAACGGGGCCAGGTTAGCGCCATTCCCTGCAGAGGGCAAGCTTCGTTTTTTGGGTACCAAGGCAAGCCGTCCTACCTGGATGGGGGGAACCTCCAGGACCTTGTTCACGTTCTTCAGGGACAGCGGCACGTACCACAGCGTTGCCTTGTTTGTCACCTTCTTCGCCCCTGGAGGAGAGGGAGACAGAGGGTGACCACGCCAACGCCAACAGCACTTTGCATGCCACTGGCACTGCTGTGGTCTGGGGCTGGCCGCACACTGGCAATGCCGCCAGCACCAGGCAGCCCCCTGCCCTGCCAGGCTTTGGCTCGCAGCG